AGCAGGGAGCCCGATGCGGGACTCGATCCCAGGACCCTGGGATCATGACCTGAGCCGAAGGCAGATGCTTAACGACTGAGCCACCCAGGCGCCCGGTATGGACATTTTAATATTAATTCTTTCAATCCATGAGTATGGTATATCCATTTATTTGTTTATTTTTCAGTTTCTTTCATCAGTGTCTTACAGTTTTCAGTGTATAGGTCTTTCACCTCCTTGTTTAAATTTATTCCTGGGTATTTTATTCTTTTTGATGCAATTGTAAAGTGAGTTTTTAAAAGTTCTCTTTCTGATAGTTGTTGCTAATGTATAGAAACAGAACAGATTTTATATATTGATTTTGTATCTTGCAACTTTACTGAATCCATTTATGTTATAGCTGTTTTGGTGGAGTCTTTAGGGTTTTCTGTGTTTAAAATCATGTCATCCACAAAAAGTGACAGTTTTACTTTTTTCCTTTCCAATTTGGATGCATTTTCTTTTTCTTGCCTAATTGTTCTGGCTAAGATTTCCAATACTATGTTGAATAAAAGTGGTGAGAGTAGGCATCCTTGATTCGTTCCTGATCTCAGAGGAAAAGCTTTGAGCTTTTCAACATTCAGTATGATGTTAGCTGTGGGGTGAATCTTTGTTAATATCCAGCACTACTCCCTTATTTTACAAGATAGATAAATTAATTGCAAGTGTTTTTTTTTTTTATTTGTTTGTAATGCTTCAGAAATGTGGAGTCTTTCATTTGTGTGGATGTCTCTTTTTTAAGTACTGACTTCATATTATATCCTTGATTGAAAACCTGTGAGAGCAATAGTATTTTCTGAGGCTGCTTGCCAGATTATATTTATGTAAAATATGAACACTGAGTAACTTAAGATGAACTAGGCCTGTGACCTCATTTTTAGAATTTAAGTTGCTAAAGTACAGACACAATCACCTATTTTGTATTAATTTCAAGGCTTCTTTGCATTCACCAAGATTTGCTTTACACCTACTCTCTTGACTTATTTTTACCCTATATATTGCCCTTGTATTCTCCCCTTAATTTGTTTTAACCTGTTTGATGTAAAAAAAAATCTGTGTGAAACAGTAAATTTGACATAGTTTCTTCATAGTTTCTCCTTAAGTAGTGCTTTCTGTAGCCTATCTCATGGGATGTGTATCCATTAGGATTAGGTTTGGCAGCATATAACAAAAATCCAACATGTTCAGGCCTGATATGGAAATTGATTTTTCTCTCACGTTCATCAAGTCTGGAATTAGGAAGTGCAGAGATAATAAGGAGTTTCACTGTATCGGGGATTCAGGCATCTTCTGTCTTCCTGTTCTACTATCCTTATCACATACTCTCATGATCCCAAATGGCTACTTGAGCTCTAACTCTTATATCCAAACTCCAGGCAATAAAAGTGAAGAAGGGTGGAAAGGCAAAGGGGTTTTTGCTGGCTTAGTTTGGTCACTCTAAGCAGTCTTTTCTTCCCAAAAGACACAAAACCATTTATTTCATTTTGCATTTCATTAACCATGACAGGGCCTCTTGGCTATATCTGTTACCAGGGGGCCTTGAAAGTATGTAGAGTATTTGATTTCTCCCACAGTGTACCCAGCTGGATTCTGTTGGGTTCTGTTCATTGTGAAGGAAGGATAGAATGGATGTTGAGGTAAGCAACTAAGAGCTTCTTTACTTCACCGTTATTGCACAGTTTTTATAGGAACATAGGAAACCCGGTGAGGTCTAGGTGGCTCAATATCTGGTTTATAATATAATCATGGGAAATGATACTAAGGTATCTCTCTGATTTAAACTTATTTGATCTATATTAACTGTCATTTTTGTGTTATTGTTACCAGATACATGTGCTAGGTACTTTTTATACCTTCTCTATAATCCCTACACTTTCTGGTAGGGCACTGTCTTTCATGCCACAAATGAGAAGACTGAGGCCCAGATAGATTGCATAACTTGTCAGGTTCTCATAACTGGTTAAGTGGTGAGTCAGATATTGATCCCACTGTTTAAGATCAGTATTGATAACTGCCTCTGTCCTCTTTATTAATCTGTCTACATATATAGCTATCCACTGCTACCCCTGCTCCACTCCTTGTACATAAAAATTGTTTGAGGTTGCTCAGATATACACAAAAAACGACAAAACAAGAAGATAAACAGATTGAAGGGAATATAAATGTGAGAAAACCTGATGAAGCTAAGATACATGTGGTACACAGAGCTGAATGCTCCATCATCCCAGACTGGTGCTGGAAGGCTTGGTCTGACTTGTGTTCTATCAAATACTAAAAGACAGGAAAATAAGCTTGAATTTTCTTTATTGGGACTCTTGGCATCTTCATTGTTTTAATCATATAATAATTTGAATCCTTATAAGGAATACTAGTTTTTCATTTTGCAGCTTCAAGGAATCTTTAAAGGTCATTATAATAGTAATATTAGTGTTTTCTGGTTTTCTCTTTGTGGGTTAGGTAAGCTGAATTCCTGTTACTTGTTTTTTAAGAAGTGGAAACCTAGGGATACCTGGGTGGCTCAGTCAGTTGAGTTTTGGACTCTTGGTTTTGGCTCAGGTCATGATCTCAGGATTGTGAGATCAAGCCCCACATGGGCCGTGCTGAACACAGAGTCGGCTTGAGACTCTTTCTCTCTCTCTCTCTGCTCTTCCCCCGCTCTCAAATAAATAAATAAATAAAAGTAGAAACCTAGTCAAAGGGAATTTTTTAGCTGGATACGGGTCATATGCTTAGTAAAAACTAGGGCTCATTTTTGTTTGTTTATAGAAATGCTCATATCATAGTTTTGAAAGGTATATTCTGGAAGACTGTGATCTTGACAAAAATGGTGTGCTTTTTACAGAGCTCCTTGAAGACAAAAGATTTTGTCTTATTCATTTTTTTCTCTGGTGTCTTCAGTATATGGAAGATATTTGATAAATGAAGAATGAATGAATGACTAGTAAATGAGAAAAATCTGTTAACTAATATAAAATTAATATTTATCCTTCTTTAAACAAGTAAGCCAGTTACCTAAAATAGAGGAAAAATAGGTCATCTTTTTTTTTTTTTTTTTTTTAGCCCTGGCAAGTTGTATGAGGTGGGTTATAGTAATGATTGGACATTGGGACCACGAAGTCCAGCCCTTGAACTTGGTATATTTGGAGAATTGCTATAACTGTGATACACCTGAAACATAGTGGTTGTTAAGGCAAGTAGCAGGAGATGAGTCTGGTAGGCTCCTGGCATGTGAAACTTCCTTATTAATTGTAAGGAATACAAGTTAGGCCCAGATTTTGAAAGCATATTTTATATGATATGTTTGTTATCTTTTTGAAAATGACTTTTTTAATGGGCAACAGAAGGGACATGATTTGGTTTGAATAACATTTAAAAAATAAATAATGTAATTCATTTCTTATATTTTAATTTTTAGGACTATCTGTGAAAAATAAATTAACAGAATATTTAATTACTTTATTTTGTTTTATTTCTCAGGATGTGATCTTCGTGGTGGGAAGCTAAGTTTTTAAACTACCCCAATGGATGCAGACAGTGATGTTGCATTGGACATTCTAATTACAAATGTAGTCTGTGTTTTTAGAACAAGATGCCATTTGAACTTAAGGAAGATTGCTTTGGAGGGAGCAAATGTAATTTATAAGCGTGATGTTGGAGTAAGTATCTTAATTTTGGTATGTGTGCTATACAGACTAATTTTATAGTGCTGTGAATCATATTCTAAAACATATTCTCTATACAGATAGTTTATGAGTACCTTACCACGTGCCAGGTGTACTCAGTACAACATTGAGCCTTGTAGAAGTGGCCCCTCCTCCTGTGAAGTGTCAGCTTTTGGATGTTCCCTGTCTCCAGGTCTTAGCAAAGAATTCACAGGCTACTAGAATTGTATTGTTCTCTCAATTTCTTTTAAATGAAGAAGGGGACATTTATATGTGGCATGTACTATTCAAATATAATTTTTTAGGGGCTCCTGGGTGGCACAGTCGGTTAAGTGTCAGACTCTTGGTTTTGGCTCAGGTCCTGGGCTCAGGTCGTGAGATCGAGCCCTGTGTCAGGCTGTGCTCTCAACGCGGAGACTGCTTAACTCTCTCTCCCTCTAGCCCTCCATCCACTCTCTCACTTTCTCTTTTTTAAATAAATCTTTAAAAATATATAGTTACATGAATGATGTATGATACGAATGATGCCCTAATATATATGTTGTGATTTTTGTAGTATATTTTAATACCCCTCTTTATTTAGCCAAAATAGTTGGTATTCTTTAGTAACAAATTGCTGAAAATAATATGGCTCATATCCTAACCCAGACACTATAAATTTTAGTTTTTGTTAGACTTATAATATTTAAAATAAAAACATTGATAACTTGCTTTTAACCTTAATGAGATTAACATTACAAGTGACAATGTGTGTTCACTGGCTTTTATAAACCAAATGATATTGAAATATATATCTTATACATTTATCATGAAAATTATGAATGTATATGAAGGCTCTAGCTCTAAAAATTAGGTGCCAGTATATCTCAGTAAATTATCATTAGCTCTTAGTACTAGAAACTAAGTTAAGATGAATTAAATTCAATTAAAAATTGCAGTGACCCACAATTAAAGATTTTCAAGTTCATCAGTAATGCCATCGTCACCTAAATAAAGGCAAAAGATATCTGCTAAGACAGTTAGAGAGTAAAATGCCTAATACTGCTTTGGAACTTAGCATTCCATGTGACAGGGAAGTCATTTTTCATAGAAGGTTAATTGAAGAAGCTGAATTGATGGATAAGGTGGTGGTGAAAGACAATTAAATGCAGAATAAACTCAGTGTTTCTCAACCCCTTGTGTATGAAATTTTATAATATCTTTTGGTTCAAGTTTAATTTGGCTCTTTGTTAAATTTTATCCTTCCAGACTTAATAGCGAAAGTTTGATAATATGACATATGACAGAGAAAGCGTGAAACTCCAAAAGTAACAGAAGTTTTAAGGAGAAATGTCCGATTCATTTATATGTTACAGTATTCAGTAAACATTTATCTCTTATACATAATGGGCATATAATATTTTCCATAAATGAAAAATTGCAATGAAAATTTAAATTCACATTGTTCTCTTGGACCTCAGTCCTTGACTGATTTATGCTCACTGTGTAGATAATTTCATTCAAACCCACAACCTTAAATGCCTTTCATATCTAAGGAATCTAAAATTACATCTCCAGGTCCAACATTTGTCCTGCACTCAAGATTTATATATTGAACTGGAATATGTAGTAGGCATCTCAGTTGTAAGATACAATATAATGATGAGTACCATGAAGCAGAATAAAGCAGGGTAGGAGGTGGGGAGCAATGCGGAGATGGGTGCTTTGATGGAGTGGTCAGGGAAGGCCTCTCTCTCTGACATCTGGTGAGAGAATGAAAGTGAGAATATTGAGGGAAGAATATTCCAGATGAAATAGTAACAATTACTGCAAAACTCCTGAGGTTTTAATAAGTTTGGCATCTTTAAGGATCCATGCAAATTGCAAATTCCAGTTACGTGACTAGGGTGGAATGAGAGTTGAAAAGTTTGCATGCTTATAGCACATTGATTTCAAGTATATAGTAAGACGTTTATACAGACCTTGTATTTATAATTAATTAAATGTCCTTTTGAATTAATATGTTCTTTGTGTTCAGTATGGTACTTGATTTCAGAATGGATGATTTGGAGAACAGTTATTTATTTCAGTCTTGGGTAAGTGTCGAGTAGTAGTTACACTTTTATTAAAATGGCCACATGGAGCAGAATCATAAGTGAAAATTAACACTTAATATATAACCACGTTTTTGTTTTATTTTGTTCTTTTGCAGAAAGTATTAATGAAGCTTAGAAAACCTAGAATTACAGCTACAATTTGGTCCTCAGGAAAAATTATTTGCACTGGAGCAACAAGGTAAATTTTACTTGAATTTTTTACTTGAATTTTTAAATTTTTCCTTCGTGGAAAGGACATTTTCCTAGACTTAAAACAAAATCATGTGTACAGTTTGTCATGTTTGTCAGTATAAAATTCATTTCCTGTGTAACTGATCATCTTTTCTTTCCTTAAAACCATAGTGAAGAAGAAGCTAAATTTGGTGCCAGACGTTTAGCCCGCAGTCTGCAGAAACTAGGTTTTCAGGTAACATTTTCAAAAAACATCCAAACTACAAATATTATGGGATTTAATTTATAAAGTTAAACTTTTTAATTTGATAGACTAAAGAAATCACACAGAGGGGTGCCTGGGTGGCTCAGTCAGTTAAATGTCTGACTTCAGCTCAGGTCATGATCTCAGGGTCCTGGGATTGAGCCCTGCCTCGGGGCTCCCTGCTCAAGGGGGGCCTGCCTCTCCGTCTCCCTCTGCCACTCCCCCTGCTTGTGCACGGTCTCGCTCTCCCTCTCTCTCTCTCTCTCAAATAAATAAAATCTTTAAGGGAAAAAAAGAAATCACACAGATACTCTTCTCATGATTGGCCTTTTTCTTATTGTCCTTCAGTACAAAAATTTAGTAGCGAACTCTTACTCATGTGAGTACTTGTAAAGGATCTTGGCATTTTCACTAACCCCTTGCTCACTGAGAGATTTGTTGCCTTACAAGTGAACTGCCTTTTCAATTCTTTTAGGCTGTTCACTTCTCACCAAAAAAATCTTGTTTTTGATCATCTCAGGAGTGGTATGTCGGGATGATGAGTAGAGAGTAGGGCCATATGTTTAAAAAGTTAAAGTGTATTTGTTTTTATTTATAGATAGCTATCACATAAATTATAAAGAAGAAAAAAGAACTAGAATGGAACTTCCACAGATCTATGCATTTAATGGCTAAGAGTAAACAGTGTTCCTACATATTACTGTTAGCGAGAACATTACTATTATAACAGGGAATTGTGATTATTTAAAATACGCCTAACTTATGTAATCTGTGCTTTAGCAATAACTACACTGTGTTGTAAGTTGAAAAGAATTCACATGACTAATACCAACTATACACCAGTGTATAAGGACTGAGAAAAGGCTGCATTCTGTAAAATCAATCAGATGTGTTAAAAATGACATAAATCCAAAACAAAATGCATGTTGTATAAAAAGGGACATTTGTAAGATTGGCTTGCTGTGTCAAATCCGTGGTTTGGTCCACAAAAAGTACACACTGGTTGGTGGGCTCTCACATGTAAAGTGACTGTCACTGGCAGGTTTCATCAAATATAATTTTATGGAGGCATAAATTTGAGTAAAATTAGTACATATTATGGATTTGTTACATCACTTGCAAATGATGAGTAAATGAAAGGAAGATAAAGATGAGCTGTGGTCCCCAAAGAGGTGGGTCCAGGCTGTATGGAATTTGAATGAGCAGTGGTGGAAAGTTGAGTTTCTTTCTGACCTCTTCAGTCTTCCCTGAGATGGAAGGTGCTAGAAAGGCACGGAAGTGCTGATGGGGAGGGGGGAGGGTTGGTGCTTGAGGAAAGTGGCAATATTGAGAGTCTTGACTGATGGTGGTGCCACTTTGGACAGTTTTGTGACTTTCATCAACTGCCTTGTGCAAGTACTCAGCTGGAGAACAGTTAATCCAGAATTGTGGTTTTACTGGGAACATTTCAAAGCATAATAAGATACAGCCATTCAAGTTATTGGTAAGAGTGGCTGAAGTTACTTTTCAGCCTGCTTCTTAGCATAACATTGGAAGTGTTGAGAAAAATCCCAGTTAAAAACACAATTTTCTCAGCTTACCCCCGCAAAAAGAAAACTGATGAGCAGTTGTCTTTTTTTTTTTTTTTCTGATGAGTAATTTTTTTGTTTCAAAACAATTCATTGAGTTGTACTTCTTTCCTACAGGTAATATTTACAGATTTTAAGGTCGTTAACGTTTTGGCAGTGTGTAACATGCCATTTGAAATCCGTTTGCCGGAATTCACAAAGAACAATAGACCTCATGCCAGGTAGGTCTTTGAAGAATCAAGACAACTTACCAAATTTGTAATTACTTGTCAACCTGTAAATATTTATATTAATTGTGATTTTTTTTTTTTTGGTATAGTTACGAACCTGAACTTCATCCTGCTGTGTGCTATCGGATAAAATCTCTAAGAGCTACATTACAGATTTTTTCAACAGGAAGTATCACAGTAACAGGTATTTTATGATATTGAAACCAAGCTTATGGTCAATTATGGTTTGAATGAGGTGCCCATATCGAACTGGAAATAATGTCTCATTTGTCCCCGTTAGTCACTTCTACTCCTCAAGGGGAAACAGTATCCTGACTTTTAACACTGTAGTTTAGTTTTCTCTACTTTTATATACTATTTTAAAATCTTATATATGCTATTTTGTATCTGTCTTCTTTCACTCATTATTATCTTAGTGTAAGATTCATCCATATTATTCCATGTAGTTATAGATCAGTCATTCTTATTGCTGTATAGTATCCAGGATGTGAATTATACTGTCCATAAGCATTTGGATAGTTTCCAGTTTGGACCTGTTAAGAATATCCTAGTATATATTTTCATAGTATGATATTTCTTTAATTTATGATGTCTTGCATTTAAAATATTCAAAGAGAAACCCATTTTGTAAACGTCATGGAGAAGAGGTTTTATATAAGTAAAATAGGCAAATATCATTGGTACTTCTCTGTCATGTCTTATGTGTATTTTGTTCTGTATCTTTTGAGTCGTAAGTATTTAGAAGGGGTGGTTTCAAGCAACTAGGCATTGAGAACTTTAGTGCTCAGGATGGCTTTAAAGGTACTGTATTTATAAATGGTACAGAAATATCACTTGGGCGCCAGGCCCAACCTTCAGCTAAATTGAGTTCAGGAGAATTTCTTTCGTGTTCTTGAATTTTTCTTTGTATTCCTTAGTCCTTAGAGGAAAATACACATTATTGACACCTTTAGACTCACAACAAGTAAACTTATCATCCAACTTTGACTCATCCTGTGGGTTTTCACATCTTCCTTGGAGACTTTTAAAGCCTACTGCCAGCGTCATGCCTGAATCTTAAAGTGGAGGGATGGGGCACAGTCCCATTTGTTCCCTTCTTTCAGCTATCTCTTTCTACATTTTGGAGCCCAGACTTCTGAGAAGCTCCAAAGTCTATTGATCGATAGGTCCCTACTAAGTATAGAGTTTACGATGCATAGGTAAAATCTGTATTTACTGAGTTAATAGATAATTAAACAACATAATAAGCTGAGGATAATTGGGTTAATTAGTATGCATTATATATTTACATCTGGAACATCCTATGAAATGTTAACAATTCAGTGAACAGATACTGAGTGGTTCCCATAGGCAAAGCACTGTCCTGTGTCGGGGAGGGGAGGGTAATCAGGAAGGAGCAGACCCAGATAACATGTGGTCAGTACCCTCAGAGAGTTCACAGTGGGTACAATATGTACGTTTTCAGCATCTTTCAAAAGAATTAAGAATTTTGAATTTTGTTCAAAATAAGTTTTATGAAAATATTTTCATTGTCTCTTTTTATGTTTCTTTTTAGCTATTTAAATGGAGATTACATTTTTAAAAAGTTATTCCAAACATTATATGGATTAATTCACATATACTGTCACCCCCCTTCCCGCATGTGTGTTTCCCTATTTACTGAGTAAGCTGTGAGGATGAATGGCCAGATTAATATTAAACATGTGGCAGGTAGTGAGTACTAGTAAATCTGTGAGGGGTTTTTAGACCACTTAGTTAATAACCGCACTCTGGTTTCCCAGTACTTTGGAAGCAGCTTTGTTTTACTTTACTGGGTTCCTCAGTACTCCTGTGAGCATCAGCGGTAGCCTAACCAAAAGCCAGGCTACAGTGACCAAAAGGATAGTGACCAAAGTGTCTAGTCCCGTTTATCACTTCTTCCTTTAATCAGCATCCAACAGCGCTGTTAGACGTGATTTTTATATATACTGTCTTCACGCTGCCCTAAACCAAGGTGAATAATAGCATTTTGGGTTTCACATCTCCTTGAATTGTTCAGAAAAGATTTTACTCTCTTGGTTTTATTATGACTGTATAATTATGTAAAGTGTAGATCTTTCTTTTAAACAATTAATCCGATAGTCTAAACCATGTGAATGTTTTCAGTGCCGGGAAATGCACGTTCCTAGCGCTCGTCTCACGAGGCCTTTCTCCGTCGTGCTTGTTACAGGGCCCAACGTAAAGGCTGTTGCTACCGCTGTGGAGCAGATTTACCCGTTTGTGTTTGAAAGCAGGAAAGAAATTTTATAATTCATCACGTAATTGGTTAGAATCCCTAACTGAGCACCTTTTAAAACCTGCTGCACATTGGACTCAAAACAAAAGGAAAACTGGACCAACAGTAATTGAGGAAATAGACTCTTTTATTCATTCACGGATACAGTGTAAGCTCCAGGCCCTTTGGATTTTATTTCAAACCTTGCTGTAATATAAAAAGGAAGTTTACAAGACATGACATTGCTGCTTTTACAAAAGGACATTCTATTTATTTTCGCAGTAATTCTCATGTCCCCGTAAGCAGAGCTGTCACAGTGTGCACTACCTTAAATTGTTTCGTTATTGTCATTATTTCTTCCCAGTTTGAGCTAATGTGTTTTATTTGTGAATAGTCTTTTACATTTTTGTATGCTGAATATGGGCACCAAAGAACCTGTAAAAGTTATCTTTTTCAATTGAATGTGCACAAATAAAAGTTTGGAAAAGATCTCTCTTCATATCCATTCTGTAACTTTTATTCCCCATTTTCTATTTTAACAAAAATTGTATTCATAATTCTTTTTTCTTTTTAATCTATGCAAGCTTAGACTTTTGCTAAAGTGTGTTGGCTTCTTTTTGAAGTGTATTTTGTAAATATATATATGCCACATGTGTATAGTATCTTTTACTGCTCTGTTACCAAATATCAAATAGGAATTTTTTCTTGCAGATTAGAAGTAAAAGTATGTATATAAACTCTAGGGAGCGAACCGGAGTAGAACTTTATAGATTAAGCATAATGTTTTATGTTGCTAATTTAATATGATAGAAAATGTTAAATATCTTTTCCAAGTTACGAAAGTGTAGTTTTAAAAAGCGAAACCTCTCACCTACAAGATGGGTATGAGAAAGAAGCTGTGATGGGTTGTACCTCATGTGCTTTTGTTACTCTGGTAAGACTCCCCTCTAGTTGTAGGAGAGTAGTAATCTTAGGTCGCTGCTGAAGGCTATACTCGGAGTCTTGTCAGAAGTTGATACATTGTGCTGTTTTAACAAGAAGTGCCCACAAGCTGCCTCTGTGCCACAGTATAATTATAATATAGTTCAACTTGAACTTGAAAGCCATTTTGCAAGATACATCTTTCCCCTTGCTGTGTCTTATTTAATGGAGCTGAAGAGTGACTGTTCAGTATTAGGGATTGCTCCTCTTAAAGTTACAATAAACACGCATTTGTGAAACATTGGCCCTTCCGGCTCGCCCAAGAGCCCTGGGGGTAGTACACGATTGGGCTGCACCTGTGTGCTACCACTTGGGATTAGGAGTTTAGTAGAACCAACAGTAATTTCACTTAGAAATAAAGCTGAGTGGCGAGTCCAATTAGCCTCTTAGTAGTAACTTAATAGAGACAATATTCCAACACGAAAACCTGAATTTTCAAAATGTTTTGAAAGTTTCATGAAAAATTGCAATGTCTTGTCCTCCGTGTTCTAGTTCATTTTCCTGATCATATTATAAAGTCTTCCAAACCTAGCTTACATACTGCACTGAACAACATACATTATTTTATATTTATTTTTATCTTCTTTTCTCTCGATGCCTTCCCCTACTGTGCCTCTCATTCTTAAATCGGGGGGCAAAGGCTGGCTTTTATATTTTCTTTCTTGTGAAAGACTTAATTGTTATTTTCAGACTTCTCTTATTCTCTCTCTCTTTTTTTTTTTCTTATACATTGTGTTTATTTGCTTCATTTTAAGATCCAGCAGTATAGGGTAAACCTCATAAAATATAGAGGATACAATTCGGTGAAGAAGTCACAGGTTCTGGGAGACTATTTTTAAAAATTGAGATTTTCCACTTAGCTTTAATCAACAGTAATAAGTGACCTGTTTTGTAAATGTTCACCAAAAAAAAAAAAAAAGAAATACAGAAAAGGCGGAAAACATGATTATATGGCCAAGGTGCAGATCCAGATGTTGTATTTTCAGTATTCAAGTGACTTGAAAAGTAGGTAGATCAGTAGCTCATCAAAATGCTTTCTCAGAAAAGAGGAAGAAAGACAATCTAACCAGGTCAGGTTTCAGGGCTGCTGTGTGAGCGTCACCTGGCAAAGTGTCATGGATAACCCACTAAACTTAACGAAGCTGGTAAGAATGAGCGTGTCTGATGTCTTCTGCTGGCTCTTCACAAGTGCTGTAAATTTTTTTATAAATAAAAACTGTGAATATATACATACAAATGATAAGTATTCCCCCTTTTTTTATTTTTGAAAATCAAAAAGCTCTGGTTAGGGGTGTATTGGGTAAAAATTTGTTTGAAGACAGAATTATTTAGTTACAGACTCAGGATAATAGAAAAATACAAGCGGGTTTAAGATACTGAAGTTGAAATCACTAGTGATAAACCTCCTAAGTTTATGAACAATTTCCTACCCATTTATGATGAATGGCTAAAACAAGAAATTGCTAATGTAGATATACAGTGTTTGAACTTTGAAGGAAACATGTAACAGTTTTGTTAAATATCCTACAATCTGTGATGCTTGACAAAGAAAAAAATTCGAATTGATTACCTGTCTTGATTTTTTAAAAATCAGCTCCACATATAATTCCACTGAGGATTCATAATAAATTTCTTAAACTGATCCTCTACAGAACACACTTTTCCTTCTCCTTCCAAAATAAAACAAAAAACATGCTCTAACTTGCCTAGGAAATGTGCTGTGGTAGAAGATCTCAAGTCTCCCTTCCTTGTAACTTTCCCCTGCCAATCTTTATGTAATACATTTCAGAATCAGGACTTTCAGCCATTCTCCTGAGTCTCTGCTAATACAGTTTCACTATTACTTACATAGATTTATAGTCTTTCCATTTTGTTACAGGGGAATTCCTAGATCATATACCCTTACACCAAACTGGGACAGTTTGTTAGGGGCCAATAGGAAAATTCCAGTCTAAATAACAGAGGGTTTCGGCTCTTAGGGTTCTCTTTTCTTTAGGCCAATCGTAATGTTTTATTCTTTTTCAAGTTAGGTTGTTCATGCTTTTAAGTTTTTGTGGTGTCTCCCATAGCTTATAATAGTAATTTAATGGGTCACTACTTAAGTAGATTGAGATTCTTTATTGCAGATTTTCTGTCATCATATCCAAATCGGTAAAATACCTCACCGAGTCCTAATATTCAACTGGAGAAATACAGAAGGGAGCAATTCATTGTTGTGTGGGAAAAACCCAAGTTTCTGGTACAGTTGGTGACCTCCATTTCATCCTAGAGAAGAACATGGTGAGGGAGTTGTCCTGATGCCTGAATGTCACTCACTACATCTGCAGTCATCTGAAAGTCAGCGTCAGTGCTAGCTCCCATGCCATAACCTGAGGTAGTGACAGTCCTGAGGAGTGCAAAGAATTGCAGGAAGCTATGGATCGCTATTAAGTCATCATGAAAGCCTTCCAAGGAGAGAGTTTTAGAAGCTTGACTTAATAACTCACACCTAATTGATTAGAGATTTGGATTAATAACCTAATGGCCTGACTCCTTTTCTAAGGTTTTACTAACAGGTACTACTAAATAAAAATGGTCCCAGCATTTTGAAATTGTCCTTTCTAGTCGTATTTTTTTAAATGGGTGGGAAAATGTTTACTTTTCTCAACCTATTGCAGAATTGTTTCTTTTAATATTTTATACATAAAATTCATAAAAGGGCATTGCACTGTAGTTCATAATTCATAAAAGCAGCTGCATAATCTTTGTACCTGTTGAACTACAGTTAGGAATTATCACTGAAATCCTAGCCAGGATCCTCTCCTAATCTAGAACAGAGGTGCAATTACCCACGTTGTGTCCTGGTTCTTTTTTACAGAAGGCCCAGTGCAAGTACTGTTGTAGTGGGCAAAAAACCATAAGCTCGTGTTCAGGCCACTTCAGTGTCTGAATCATAAAGCTGCAACCGGCCTCTGTACATACATACCTTAAGGCAAAAGTTGATCGCATTGCTAGTTCATAGTTTTTCAAAGGTTGCTCTGTGAAAAAAGTGCATAGTACTGAACCAGCCAGTATGTGTTTCACCTGGTATCCTACGCAGAGTAAGAAAGGGATCATGGGATCTTGTACCTCATTTACCTTTCGAGAGGTGGAGGTTAAAGGTGGTCTTTATAATTTCAGGGTGTCTCTAAAACTAGCTCAGCAACACTAAGGAGAAAACATGGGAGTGGCCAATATGTGTTGGTACAAAGACACCCTTCGAATTGTTCTTCTACTTTATCAACATTTCTAAGGTTTGAGGCCATTAGGTCTCTGGAGAAAGCTGCCTTGGTTGTCCCCTACCACACAGCTTTTTACACTCCAAGAGCTGCTCTTGGGGTTTTCTTTTTTGAAGCGGTTTTGGCACTAATTCCTCTTGATGATGACTCATAAAACAAATGTTGTTTTTCACATAGTTCCTGAAAGAGAAAGAGGCACTAATGAAAATGTCACTGTTAGTTTATAGTACTTGGAAAAAAAAAAAAAAAAAAAGTACAGGCTATTATTTTTTTAAATCACCCTGGGGCTTTAATGTTTTAACTAAGCCAAAAAGACATTTTTATTGCAAAGCCTTGATGTATCATGAAATTCAGTGTACCACCAAACTTTGGTCATTCTCACTCAAAGAGTAAGGTGGGGAGGGTGACTTCCCAGAAAAATCAAGGCATTCCTACCTGCAGAGTCCAAGGATAGAACTAATGGAGATAATGTCTCAGATCCTATTTTATTTTTCTCCTCTTCTCAAACTCTACCAATATGCCTATATTTATGTCTGTGTAGTCTGCCTTCTGCATTATCCGCTTGCTCCTGCATTAATAAATTCTATGGATTATTTCCATCAGCATAAAAATATGCCCTAGGATTTTACGTTTTTTAAAAACAAAGTAAGGCCACCTTTGAACCTCTTTCAAAGATCTTTTCCTGTCACTTAATCAGTTACTTGAGTATAGACTTATGCTTTCAAGGACCTTACCTTTTAATAAAGGAGACAAGTGTATATAAGCATATAATTTCAAGTATTAAAAGTGCTAATGAGAAAAATGGAGAGGAAAGAAGAATGAAAACAGTCGGGTGGGAGGTGACTGTCATACTGCTGGCACCACTCTAAAGCGGTGACATTTGATCAGAAACTGATAAGGAGGAAACCCTGTGAAGAACTGGAAGCACTGTTTCCAGAAAAGTCAGATCATGGCTAACACACGAGCGACGAGATGAGCTTAGATTTGTGTAATTTGAACCACAGGATTTTGAGCCGAGGAATGACATCTTTAAAAGATCAACTGCTGTATCGAGGATAGACTGGAGGGTGCAGGGGCTGGAAGACCAGTGTAGAGGTTCGTCTAGTCCAAGGAAAAGATGGTGGTTGGGACTGAGCATGGCACTAGTTGAAAGGGTCAGGTTCATGGTGTGTTTTGTTAACAGATTTAACAAGATTTAGTACAGATGTGAGGTGTAGGGATTATCATGGATGAATCCTAAGCGTCTGGCCTGAGGAGCCCCTCCCCACAACCCTCAGGCAGAAGGTTTGCGGAGGAATGTGTGTGCATTTGGGTGAGTGGGACTGAGAATTAAGAGTTCTGTGTAGGTCATGTTAAGCTAGAGATGCCTATTAGACATTCCAACCAAAGATGTTAAGTAAGCAGGTTTGGAAATTTGAAAGTCAGGTAAAAGACCAAACCCTGGAGCTATACATTTGGGAGTCCTCATTTTATGGCTTATAATAGCCTTTGGGATAGATCTTAAGAAGTGAATATAGATACAGATCTAAGGATTGAGTCCTGGGCACTACTGTAGTTAAAGGTGTAGAGGAGGGGGAGGAAGAAGCAAAGGAGACCAAGGAGTGACTAATGAGATAGGAGGAAAAGCAGGGAAGTGTGATATTCCAGAAGACGAGTGAAAATAAGTGTTTCCTAATGATCATCTCAAAATGAATATATCTAAAACATCTCTCCATCCCTGAAACCTAGTTCTCTTTCTGGCTGCCCTATCTTACCATCCATGCAATTTCTCAGGCTAAAAATTTAAGTGTCATCCTAACTACTTCATTGCCTCACTCATATATCCAATTCATTCATTCATTGAATAACTATCTGAGATCAATAAGCCAGTGAGGCTGATAGAGAAATGGTCTAAGAACTAAACCTTAGGGCACAAAAACTTTAAAATAGTGGGAAGATAAGATGGAACCAGCAGAGGATGCTGAAGGAGTGACTGACAGACAACCAGGAGGTGGGTCCCCGAAGGCAGAGAAATAAGTATTTCAGGAAGGAGGTCATGCTCACCTAAGTCCAATTCTGGGGATGATCACCACGCTAGCCATTAAGATGAGGAATGAGACTGACCCCTGGGTTTAGCAATGTAGAGGTCACTGGGATGTTAGAGCAATTTCACTAGGGTTATAGCCATAAAAGTCTCATTGGAGCAGGTTCATGAGAGAATGGAGAAAGAGGAATTGATGACAATGAATATTCCAGAACTTTGCTATAAATGGTAGCAGAGAAACAGCACAAGCTAAAGGGGAAAATGGAATCAAGACCATTTCCTTTTTTTTTAAGACGGGGGGCAGGGGGGGCGGAATCACACGATTTCCATGCTGGTGAGAAGTCGAGATCCAGTAGAGAGGTAAAATGTGCATGATGCTGGGCTGAGCAGAGAAAACTGTTGGAGAATGTCCTGGAAAAGGGATGGGGAAGAGCATGAAGTGGTTGGCCTCACATAGGAATGGTGGAACTAACAGAACCCAGAAGGATGACGGTGTATTTAGATACAAACACTAATGTGTGGGTTGGTGTGTAAGGCTATGGAAGTTCCCTTCTGATTGTGTCTACTTCCTCGGTGAAGTCAGAGACAAGGTCATCAGTGGGAGTGAACAGGGCTAAGGAGGTGGGGAGGTTTCCAGAGAGAGAAGGTGGAATGGAGCAGTCGTCTAGGAGACAAGCAGTTAATAGGCCTGGGACGTATGTGACTGCCAGGCAGCACTGAAGGCCACTTGAGGTCAACGATCATGATTTTTTTTTTTTTTTATTTATTTGAGATGAGAGAGAGAGAGCACGCGCGCACAAGCAGGGGGGGAGGGGCAGAGGAGGAGGGAGAAGCAGACTCCCTGCTGAGCAGGGAGCCCACTCCATCCCAGGACCCTGGGATCATGACCTGAGCTGAAGGCAGATGCTTAACCGACTGAGCCAGCCAGGCGACCCCAAGGATCACGATTTAAAGTGAGAAAAACCCAACACTGCGCTTAGGTGCCTTCTCAGCCATGTTCAGCTGTGTGACTGCAGGGGCTCACTTGGGACACCTCAAAATGTAAATCAGCTCACGTCACTCCCTGCTAAAACATTTTAGTAGCTTCCCATTGCACTTAGAATGAAATCCAAGGGGCACCTGGGTGGCTCAGTCGGTTAAGGTTAAGCATCTACTTTCTGCTCAGGTCATGATTCAGGCTGCCTGCTCAGGAGGTTGTCTGCTCCTCCCTCTGCCCTCCCTTTGCTACACCCCCCC